CATACCTTCTGAACCCAAACTGTTCTTACTTTCTTACAGTCTACAAAAATTTTATCTCTAGCTTTCATTAACCTGAAAAGATTCAAGTAATTAGATTTAATATGTATTAAGATTAATGGAAGTCACACCTGGTTTCTTCAGATGTTTACTGTCAATAAATGAAAAGAGAGGCAGACAGGAGAAAGCAGCAACAGAGAGGAAACAGACTGCTGTGTAGAGACTACCACTGAAAGACCTAGTTGTGGCCTGTGCATGTCCCAAACTATGTGACCTCTACTTTTCTCATGTAGACAAGACTAGAAAGCCATGAAAAAAATCACTACTGGGGAGAGAGGGCTCGCTAGAAGCTTAACTCTCATCTTCATGCAATTTACCTATGTAATAAATCCTCACATGTACCCCACAACTCTAAAATTAAAAAAAAATATCATTTCAGCATAGAGAAGCGTTACGATGATGCAATTTCAAAGACAATAACCCAAATAAAAGTGTTTTTCAGTGGAAAATTTACACCACTAATATGTGGTTGTTGCTAGGCAACAAATATTGCAGTATTTAATCTCTACCCTTCTTACAAAATTGCATGATGAAATAAAACAAGCCTTTTTAGCATTCTGACATAATAGTTTATCTGGCAATTTTTAGTCTTCTGTTTGAATATAATTTTTAAGCTAAAATAACTGTAATTTTTATTAGTATACATCAGTCTACTCCCATTTTTAAAAAACCTGGTTCTACAATCCATAATGATTAATGGGAATGAGCTAAAATTACCATAAACCAAGTAGCAATACTGTATCATTATAATAAATGCTATAAGTGACAAAAAAATAGATATTAGTCATCAGAATTTGAGAGCACATGTGATTTATTATTGTCAATACTCAGTTAATATATGTAGAAATATAAGTTTCAAAGAGAAAATAAACTTCTCTCCAGATTAGTTAAGAAACAATTATGTTTCTATAATTTTGTAATTTGAAAAGACTTATATGAAAAGACTTATATCTTACTTAGTATCCTATGTATGTGTTAATGCCCAAGCGGGTTCCAATAAAATTCAGCATCCTTAGGTTGCTCTTATTTTGATATTGTTTCAGTTACACAACAGTATGAACACAGATGACATATTTAAGGAAACCTAAAAAATAGCATGAACGTTTTCAAGTTCATCTCTTAGGATAGAGAACATGAGATTCTGGTAAAAACAACAACAACAACAACAACAAAAAACCCACCAAGAAATCCTGAATTTGGTAAGCTAGGAAACAACTTTTATGTGGTTCAATCTTCTCATCTGTAAAGTGTGAAAAACCACTTTTAAGGTTATAGTAAGGATTACATATTTAAAAATGGGAATCACTATATGAAATACTAAGTTCAAATAAGTAATGAAGCTGTTGCTGTCCCAGACACTGACTATCATTATAAAATGGAAAGCTGAGATATGGTCTAAAGAAGTTCATCTACACAGATATTCATGCTGCAGCAAATCTCCACTTCTACCAGTCTAAGATGATGATAATCCTTCAGTTGCTAGAATCATCCAGCTATTTGCTCATAACTCTTATTTTTATGCGGTTATAACCTTGATTTTCTATAGTATCTTGTTATCAGGAATCTATCCTAGTCCAAAAGAGCTTGTGACAACCAAGGCCAAAGTAATGCTCATTACCTATCCAGGATTTCTAATTTTATCTACTACTTTACTGAAGAACTGAAAAATAGAAACCTGGGAAATAGACTTAATATTTCTTTCCAAGAATTATAATAATCTGTTAGTTAGTGCTTATAAAATTATCTCTCCAGTGTCTAATTTAAGAATATGCCCATCTCTATTACTAATTTGTTTCATCATTCATATTCATATTTTCTCTATGAATAGAAGAAAACGTACATGCCAGTAACTCAAGAGTTCTCAACAACTTTCACAATGTAATAACCACTCTTACCATGGGGGATGTGGGGGGGGTGGGGGCAGGTTTCACTTACTAAACCTTGTGATGCATAATATTAGCATTACATATGGAAAGCAATGAGCCTTTCTGAATCTTTGAGATTATATTTATGCCAAAAATGGATGTTGGTCTTTAACTCAATATCAATCCACTTTACAGATGTGGAAACTGGGGCCCAGAGATTTTAGTAAACCAAAATCCCTCTGTTACTACCTCCCCTAATAACAGTATTATTATTACCATTATTATTATTTTTAATCAGGCTCTTTCTCTCCTTTGTAATACTGAGAATTAAGAGAAATAGTCCTCTTCTGAGATCCAGCTAGCAAAATGGGCATCTTATGTCAATTAACAATACATTTCAAAACTAGACGAATAAAATGAAGTATGCCACTAGTCTATTTCCAAGAACTTGAAGGTCCAAGCTTTGAGCTTGAGCACATTAGGTGAGTGGCAGTTTAATCTTCCAAGACATGTTGCCCCTCCCATCACAAGGTAGAATCTATTTCTTCTCCCTATGAATCTGGGCTGTCCTTTGAACTTAAAATAACCACTCATTTTTCTTTAAGCTAGTGAGTTTGGTGTTGCTTATGTTGCTACAGATAACTAATTTCAAGTTTGGAGTTTCAGCTCTATTATACATTATAATTGCCCAGGAAAATAAAGAATAAAAACCAGAAATCTCCAATTATGAAATAAGGAAAACCCATAGAGGAAAGAAATTTGTACAACTGCAGATAGAAACAGAGCAAGATAAAATATAAATAAGCAACTATGATGGATAAATCTTCTGCTACACAAATGCAAAGACAAAGAGTCTGACAAACTGTCTGATCTCAAGTACACTGTAATTAGCTTTAAAAAAGGAAATATAAGGTGTACATACAGAGAAACAGAAAATAAAAGCACTCTGTGGGCTGTGGTCAGGAAATGTTTCATGGACACACAACGTAGTACTACAGTGGTAAGCAAAACCCTGACAATTAAGACACCTATTGTTGTTTTTTTTTTACTTTTAAATTTTTTATTTTAAAGATGTGGGGTACAATTCAGGGTTAGGTACACAAATGTTCATTATGCAGATACCCTTGTTGATGAGGTGTGCCCCCTTCACCCCACTCCCCTGGCAGTTTCCCTCAACTGCCAATGCCATTCCCCTCCCCTGGCAGTTTCCCACTACTGCCAATCTCTTTCTTATAGCATTATGGTAATTGTACAAGGTTGGCTTATGAGTGAGACCATATGGTACTTGAGAGACACTTGGTTTTAAAAATGCTGGATATGGGCGTCAAAAGTTTTGGGTTTATGTCTTAGTTCTGTCCCTTGTCAGTCACATGATGTTGAGTAGGTCATTATACCTCTCTGAGCTTTTTTGCCTATAGTTCTAAAATACTCTTCTAAGCTATGTAAAGCTAGATCTACCATTAGGCTAGCCGGCTGACTGACAAGTCACTCCCTACTATTTGAGTCACAATACTCTCAACAAATGACTAGTTAAAATTAATGGCTCACTAAACAGACCCTGAGATGGCCTTTGTAATAAGAATATGATTAAGACTGGTGTTCGGGGAAAAGAAAGTTTTTCTTAAGCCAGAAAAAGAGGTATATGCTAACATTTAGAGGTAGGGATTACTTTAAGTCTATAGGTAATTTTTAAGTATATAAAGCATTGTATTACTGAGTGACTGATAGATAAAACCCAGCCTTCTGAAAGTCTGTATTTTAGGAGCTATAAGACAATCCAAATATCTACAACCAAAAAAAAAATATATATATGCAAAGCATATTGAAGGTATAAAGTTTTATGAAAACTGAGAAAAAAAAAAGAATCAAAATGGCATTAAGAATAGGTCTTGGGCAATCCCCTCAGGTCCCCTTTCACTGAGGGTGCTTTTCTGTCCTCTCAATAAATTTTGCTTTCTAAAATAAAAGAACCACTCTTGAAAGATAGGTTAGATTTTGGCAAGCAGAAGTTTACAGAAGATACATTATTAAGAAGATAAATTTGGGGGCTGAACAAATGGCAGCGGCAAAATAGTCATTAAGATGAAAGAGAACAAAATACTTAGCATATCAGAGAACAGCTTAAAAAGTAGCAAAGTACACAACATTCTGGAAGACCTTGACTTGCCGGAGACTGGACTTCTCTGTTAGATAGTGGGAAAACACTATACATACATTTTGTAAAAAGTAAAACATTATTTCGTAAAAATATATCAGATCGGAATATTTAGAATATAAGAATGCTCAGAAAAAGACTTGAACAGAGAAACAATAAAGCGTCTTAACTATCCAAGGTATCATAAAGTTAAAAAAAAAAACTGGGTTAAAATGGTTAAAGGAACAAACAAGGCTTGGTGAGATTCTGGATACAGTCTGAGGGAGAAGTAAAAGCAGACAGGCTTTGAGCTTGGGTGGTTAGAAAGATCACTAAGTGAATGTGGGAAGTCAGGAAGGAGTTCACAAGCAGATAAAATGAGGTATGGCAGAAAGCAATCTAATTTTTGCTTGCTAACTATTTCCATAATCATCCTCATTATGCAACTCATAATTAAAACAGGTTTGAAATCTAAGGTTTGCCACCACAGGCTAGCGTGATAGGGTATTCCCCAATATATCTGTAGATACTGCTAATAGTATGTCTATGGTTGGACCTTCTTAGTGGGATATGCCAGTGCTTTTCTTAGCTTTGAAACTCTCTTCCTAGCACTTCACCATTTACCAAAATCCAACAAGCATCCAAGTCTTACTCACCAAGGCCTCTGCAGGACCCAAAATCATTCTCAGGAAGGACTTGTAATCACCACTGATTACAAAGGACAAAATGCCTAACTTGAGGCTCCACAATTTAGTCATTACTAAGAAAAGTAGATGTTTTGGAGTTAATGCTTGGAACACAATTCACTTCAGTTGGCTGGGAAGAAGTCAAAAAGGCTTGACAAAACACCAGAAAAGGTGGCAGGAGAAAAGTATGGCTCCACAAGGACTCTAGAGCAGTACAAAGAGAAGGTGAGAACACCACACTGCCCTCAGAGGACTTACCTGGGCAAACTTGTGAATCTGTTCCACCACTGCAGCAAACAGAGCATGGACACTTTCATCAATCAGACTCTGCATGTAATGCACAGCCTCTTCATCCGACAGATCTAAACGGAATTTATCCTGAACCTATAAGAGAACAGTTAGTCTTTTTTAATGAAGAGACAGAATCTAACTGATACAGATATTATAGTATGAACTATTTCTATGCCATATAAATTATCTGTAACTTATAGTGGAGTTCTAATGCCATTCTTTTGGTGTGGGAGTTTGCTGTTTTTGTTATTTGTTATTGTTATTTGTTCTTTATATCACCCTGCTGTTTTGTTATTTGTTCTTTATATCACCCTGTTACAAATGGTCTTTAAGGAAAAAAAACAAAAACAAACTGAATACCTGATTCTATTAGGGTTCCAAAATTTAAAAACAGAAACTGTTCTTTTTATTAAAGGTATGCCTTATTTCAAATCTAGAATACTATATATGTAAAATGTGAAACTGATTAACAATCCCCTTTACTTTATTGATTATTCCTTGTGAAATGGATGTAACAAGGTGAGATTATATTAATATTCTCCTTCACTGTCCTGTACAAGAACAGGAACTGTGTAGATCACTGGCAAAGTAAACTACGCTAGATTTTCTAAAATGTCTCCTTTCCTACAGAATTTCCCTGTGCCCTTGCAAAAGACTACAATTGGGTCTGCAATTTCCAAAGATAAGGGAATTTTAATTTTAGTTTATAGTTAAAGTTGCAGTTGATTAGTTGATTTTCAGTAGAAATAAGTAGTAGAAAAGTTAGTGTGCATATTTATGTGTATCTATATATTAATATACACATGCATATATATATTTACATATATACTATATATATATATATTATATATATATATATAAAATAAAAGCCAGTGTTACTGAATGACTTTTATGCAAAACAGTGTGCAAAGCATTATACATACAACAACCATTTGACTTGTGGGTGACTCTGAGATAGATGCAGACTGAAGGACAGAAAGTTTATGAAGCCAACTCAGGGACCCTTAGCTGATTAAGAGGCACATGCTTTCATATAATCCCATGCCATCACACCTAACCATTATTACACACAACTCCTTTCTCTTACAAATGGCCCACGTAATACTTCTGAAAGGCAGGGTCGAAAAAATGTGGTCCACATATGGTATTTCCTTTTAAGTATGGGATTTAACTACTAGAAAGCTAGGAAGAAGAAAAGACAGACAGTATAACAACAATCCACAAACCCAGTCCAGTGCTCTGTCTTTTCACTGGAGTAAAGGTATGCCAGGTGAGCTGACAGTTCTGCAGCCTCAAGGCAGGGGAGTTAAAAGAGAGGTACATGTGAAAAGTGAAGACCATATGGAGGAGGGACATCTAAGGTTGTATCTTCAATGAAATAACAACTCTCTCATTTCTGGATCCCAGATAAAAACAAACATAGTCCTTGAGTTTAATCTTTTGTTTTCCTTGACTTCTACTTAGAGTTATGATTGACAATTCTGGAACTATTTTTTGGACATTAAAAAAAACAACTACAGACCAGGAATATCAAAATACTTTAGCCTGACTTACAAAGCTTGCATACTTGTATGAGTGTCTGAATTACAAACAGAATATATGTTTTTGGCATAAAAATAAATTTTATTTACAAATATAAAAACATTCTCTTTTACAAACACACAAATATAAAAACATTTACAAATTTACAAATATAAAAACACTCTCTTTTACAACAAAGAAGGTTATTTGATATCATATTTAATGATTTACGTTAGGCTACCTATTACTGTCCTCTAGGTTCTTAAGGTTCTTCACACACACACATTTTTCTAGTATTTTAGTAACACTATTGCAAATCAATCATAACTTTTAAATATGAACTACAAAAAAAATTCCTTATTTTTAGAAATTACAGATCCACTGAAGAAGTCCTTTGCATGAGTACAGGGAAATTCTGCAGGAAAGGAGACATTTTAGAAGATCTAGTTTAATATATTTTGCCAGCAATTGACACAGTTCCTGTTTTTCTACAGGCAGTGAAGGTGTGGGAGAATATTAATATAACCTCACATTGCCACATTCATTTCCCAAGAAATAAAAGGGATAAAGTGAAGAGGATTAATAAACATCCCAGTTTAAATCATACACACTCTTTGTTCTTCGAATTATGTAATTTCTATTGATTTAAGTTCAGACTCCTTCTAATGCTATGTCCAATTTGCTGTTAAGTCTATCCAATTAATATTTCATTTTAGCTCCTGTGCTTTCCACTCTGTAATTTTAATTTTGTTCTCTTTTCTTCCTAGTTTTTCTTTCTCTGTTGATATCCCCATCTGTTCAGTCATTATGCATTTATTTCCCTTAAGCCAACGGACATTTGTAATAGCTGATTTACAGTCTGTTTCTGATGCTTGTGGCATATGGGTCATCACAAAGTATGTTTCTACTGACTGCTGCTCTATTGATTGTGTATCACATTTTTCTGTTTTTTCACATATCTAGTGATTTTAAAAATTAGGTAACAGACATTCTAAATATGTTATAAAGACTCTGAATTCTATTGTGCTCCTGTGAAGATTCATTCCAGCAAGCAGTTAACTTGACTAAAATCAAATCCAAATCCATCCTCCCTGTGAGGGACAACAGCTGAAAACTGCTCAGTTCTTTAAGCTCTGGGCTACTACCTTCCCCTCTGCTGAGACTGTGCCTTCTGCAGTTTCACATTTAGTCAGGATTTGGGAGAATTTTATATGTAGGTTGGGAGGGGGCAGGTGCACTTTCTCTGTGACTTTAACCTTTCTAGAATTTCTTCTCTAATTTCCTGGCTATTCCACCAGTTCAAAACTTGTCCCTCTTTACTCATTAGTATGTCTATATCAAAGAAAATGTGAAAAGTACCTATGAACAAAAGGTTGCAAACAAAATTTATCTAGTTTATCATTTCTGGATTTTATATTGCCCATAAAAATCAAGAGGAACTACAATGAAAACCTTCTACATGTGATGAAGTGGACATCTGTACAGAAACATTATTGGATAAAAAGGGGTATAATGTAATAGTAATAAACTGTGGGTAGCAAAGCATGTTTGTTCAGATTCTTCTTGGCATCTCTGTAACATTCCTCTCCTCCAGGAATAGGGCAGGACCCTTTGTGAATGAAAGTCTTATGAGGAATTTAAAGGACACTCAGATAATTCTTTAATGGCCTGCTACAGGGGAGACAAGTAGGAGACAGTCAAGACCTTTCTTCTTCTGCTGTTTTCTCAATTGCCAAGGGTCCATATTTTGGGGTAGTATGTCCTGAACCCTGTCAAGTTCATCTCACATTTTTTGGAAAACATGCTTTAACAAATAAATCTGATTTTTTTAAAATGTCACATATTTTATATATGAGCTATTAGTTTCCAAAAAATTAGAGCAAAATTGCCACATACTAAGTTATGGAGACAGGAAACTATCATTGTATTTTGTTATTATACTCACATAATTTGAATAATCTTTTTTTAAGAGATCAATCTTAAATGCACTACTCTATTTCTCTAACTGGCTTTGATTTATGAGGCCAACACAAAACTTTTCCAAGTAATAACACTGTGAAGTAATGTCAACAATTGTTATTTCATCATAGTATAAAAATCGAATTCTATTTCTTGAAAAAAAAAATCAACCAATAAGAAACATACATTTTAACTTATTGTAGCATAGCTTTCTAATATTATTGTGATTTTAATGTCAAGTGTTTGCTGCAATAGATTACTATCTTGATAAAATATCAGAAAGCAAACAAACCTTCTATAAAACACTCCTTTGAGGAAACATAGTGATTATCTTTTTTTAAATGTTCACTTAATTGAAACCAGAGCAAGCAATGAGGGAATCTCAATCCAAAAGAAAGGGACTAATAAACCTGATTTTATTTGGTAAAATGAACTGCTTCATGTTTTAAAACAGTGCTATAAAGATAGCTGGTAACAAAAGGCAATTATTCATGATTTTCTAAAACAGGAAGAGATGGAACAAAAACTCTAGTAAGAACAAGAACAACATAGCTTAAACTGACAGACGAAATTGTATGATTCAGTTTGACAAATACTGTCACAACTTTTATAAATAGAAACAACTTCTGAACATGAGTGAAGAGTGAATAAGTGATAAGATTAAATGGGTTTAAAGTAAACAATAAAACAAACCCTGCATACAGCAGATATAAAAAAAAATCAACATTTAACATTATAGTGAAGAAAATTTTCATCAACCACTGATATTTCTTGATGGATGAGCTTTAGTTAATGAAAAATAAATAAAATGACAAAAAAGACGTTCAAAAAATTGGTATGATATGTAGTCAATTTTGAATTGAAAAAAATGTATTCAATATGTGCTGGCTAGATAAAAGAATAAATGGAATCCTAATAAGAGCATGATTTTCTTAAATGTTTAATAATATAGTACTCACACTAAAATCTCTATCACTGCTTTCCAAAGATTTATAAAATTAGAAAAAAGAGATTAGTCTGATTTATGTTCAATTCACTGAGGCATCTAATAATGTTCTTTTTGGTGCCAATTATTATTTTCAACCACCAATTATTATTTTCAACCACCAGAGCAACTCCTTCTCTGAGATTGCTACTGTCCTTCAATGATTTTATATTTCTACAAGTTAAAAAGTTGAACTATCTTTCTTTGAAGTTCTATATTGATAATCATATTGATATGTAAAATTATCTTATGCTGCCTCTGGATAAATAAGGTATCTATATCCCCCAATGAATGAATAAGATAATCAAAGATTAATCCAGATAAAAACCTTCAAATCCACTGCCTCTCTTTCCATCTCTTTCTAGGATTCAGGATAAGATAGCTCTGAATAAGACTGCTCATCTACATGATAGCTTTCCTTCATTCTTGTCTTTGCAGACTGAGTTAAAAGGAAGGTCTCTACTCTCCTGACACAGTAAGAAACTCCTGAAGCAAAGAGTATGGATAGAAAAATCACAGAATGGCTATTTTCTCCTATACAGTATTACATCCTTACCATATGTTGCCTGGGACTATTAGGAATCGGGTACATTGAATTTTCTATTAGGAAGGTATAAAGAAGAGCTAAACTTTTCAGGACAAAAAATAGGGGTTGTAGCATGTAGTAGTAAGTTGTCACTCCAGATATGGGACCTATTCATGTGACTGTTGGCTTAAACAGGGAAGAAGACAGAACTGGCTGCAGAGGACTGAAGAAGTTGTATTCTGAAATGTTGGGACAGACACACACACACACACACACACACACACACACACACACACACACACACACGGTCTCTTAATTTAAGTTACTTAAGAATCTATAGGCTGGGACAACGTGGGGAAAATGAGTTGTTAAAACTCTAACATCTTTCACATGTAAAAAGTAGGCTGTCATAACTGGGGAGGTATAAAAATTATTACCTTTTTCACAGTTTTATCTGGCTCAAGAGCAATATCTGGAATGTTTGCATCAACCATCAAGGAAAATAAGTTCAAAATCAGATTAGAATACCTAAAGAAGAGTAGGAGAGAGAAAAAAATAGCAACGAGTGAGATTTTTGCATTTCTTTCTCATATTAAGAACACTTCTAGAAGTAGAAGTACTTGGATTTTTATAGTGATTACTATTAATCCAATGGAAAACAGAATTTAAGACTATACATCAGCTGTGTCAATGAAAAGTAAGCTTTGAAAAAAACCTTATACTGGGATCTTCAAGTAACACCATTTCTAGGTCCCACATTATGGAACAAACTTTTGGAGCAAACATCACTAAAAACCTTTTCTTTCTTTAGTAAGTATATATTTTTTAGAAGGGATATGAGGAAAATCCTCTTTATAGCTAATTAGCATTTTATAACAATGACAGTCTGTCTTTGCTAGATGACAACAACAATCTGCTACCTTAACACGATCCCAGTGTGTCATGACTAAATGAATAAAAGGGAAATGTCACCCATGAATCACTCATGAGTATCTTTCAGAAATACCAAGCATGCTTTCAGGAACTACAGTGACTGACCTGGATAAAAGTAATTCTAAGTGAAAGAAAAAAATGGCGATGACTCTACTGCATAAAAAATGAGCAAGATAGCTATCTAAATAGTATCTTTGGAGTATGCTGACCTCTAACAAGAACTAACAGTTTATCTTCACCAGTCCTCAAACTTCCTCTTTCCCAAAACTAGAAGAATGAATGTTACTATTCTAAATGCTCATTTCCAGAGGTGGAGCCTGTGGGAAAAGGTTTAAACAAGTCAAGACTGTGTACACTCTACCTCTTGGCTCCAGAACACGAACACACTCCACCATGGGCAGTCATGCTCTGGGTGGCCCCTTCTTAGCACATTGTAATAGGAGTTTCACGTTTGACTTTGAGGATAGATGTGAGTAAAAGAAGCTTTGATTTCAGGCAATGAAGGTTTTTAGTTTTTTCAGTAAAAATGTCAACCCAAGTGCCTTGCATTCTCTAGGACATAGGGACAAGGTTTAGATAATGCAAAGTCTTTATTCTAGTCATCTACCTTTTCATGATAATAATAAAACACAAACTCTTACTTAAAAACTGTTTAATACTTTAGCTGTAATGATAATAGAACTTATATAGAAAAATGACTATACGGGTTTCAAATTGTCTATTTTATCATCATTTCTGAATTGTATATTGCCCATAAAAATCAAGGAAAACTATAATGAAAACCTTCTACACTGATGTAGTCTCATAATTAAATCAGACCTTAACACATTTATACTCAGGAGAAAAAGTTATGAAAACAGCTCTTAAAAAAGCTTTAAAAAATAGGTTAAATGAATAATAAATAAACAGTTACAAATAAAAAATAGCTAAAAAAAAAAATGCAAGTAGTTAAACAGCTTTAGCCTAGCTTTAAGTTACTGATTTCCTTGTGGGAATTAGTAAAAGCATATCATAGACATTATTTCACTTCTAAGCATATAATAATTTTATTCATTCAACCAATAAATATTTATTGGGTACTCACTACATAGATTGTTCCAGGTACCAGGGATACAGTGGTGAACTGAATAAGATCTCTACATTTATGAAGTTTACATTCTAAAGGAGAGGTGGAAACTCACGATATATTGACAAACAAAATAATAGTATGTCCAGTTGACTAATTAAAAGATTTTTTTAAATGAAAGAAACAAAAACCAAACAAGAAAATGGGTCAGTGATTGACAGAGTGGAGAGAGTAAAAGCCATCTTAAGGAAGTATCATTTTATTTTAAATGCACTGAGAAGCAACTTAGTTTAGTGGAGTAACACACCCTGATAGGCATTTTTAAAACTTCATGCTGGCCATCTTGTGGAGAATAGGAACAGAGGTAGGGAAACCATATCATAGACCTCCAGGTGAAGAAGAAACAACATAGAGTCTATTTAGGCTATACTTTGGAGATGAAGTAGATGATTTTTGATGATGGTTTCAATTGAGGTGGCGGGGGGAGGATGGAAGAATTGAATGTCACAAAGGATTAGTTTAAGTAACGGGACACTAGTGTTAATCACCAAGACAGATAGATAGGCTGAATGGAGGAGAATCAGGATTCTAAGCAGGGAATCAAGAATTCTGTTTTAGAAATATGGAGTTTGAGGTGCCTTCCAGATTCTCAGTAGGGAATCAATTAGATATATCTCAGCAGAAATATCAACGCTGGTGATATTAAAGCCACCAGCATTAGAACTGGATTGGATAAAAATAGTTTAGGGGAAAAGAAAAAGATCCAGACCTCAATCCTTTATAATGATAGTAAAACTTCTAGACAGTTAAAAGGGCACAAAAAGAAAAAAGAAAAATGGGTTACACCAAATGCGTGAGAGGTTTTCAGGAAGAAGGGGGCTGTCAATTGTGTTAAAAGCTGCTAGAAGCAAAAGTGGTCAACGGATTTGGTAAAGGTAACTGTTTATCTTGATAAAATTAGTTTCAGTAGCAAAGTAGGAATAGAAGCTTTACTAGAGAAGGCTGAAAGAAGAAAAGGGGACAAGTAAGTGTTGACAGTAGGAACACAGACATGCTGTGAAGGACAGTGGAGAAGCCAAGCAGCAGCACAAGGTTTAGCAATATCCCTGGCTTCACCCACCAGATGTCAGCAACATTCACCCAGCTGTGACAACCCTAAATGTCTCCAGACATTGTCAAATGTGCTCTGGGGGAGAAGGAAGGAGTGCAAAACATCCCAGAGCCGAAAACCACTGTTTTAAAACCACTAGCAAGAAAATAATTGTTGGATTTTCTTCAGTAACATACTGCTCCTGCCCTGTATGCAGTAAATTGGAAGGCAGACAGATCTAACCAGAGTTAGGGTTTCAGCAGACAAGGTCATAAGACCAGATTTTAAAAAATCTCACGAGAGTTAAGAGGGAAGAGCAGTAAGAAAGATTTGTTTATGGCCATAAAATTCAGTGGGAAAAAGAAAAAAGTGACAATATGGGTTTGACTGTATATGGTGGAAGGATAATGAAACTGGACGTACCAATGAGGTGAAAGTCTTGTAGCAATGAGGACTAATCTAAAAATGAGCTATAAGAACACAAAGTGCCAGTCAGAGCAGAAAGCCTGAAATTGAAATTCTGAAAGTTTTCAATGAATGACAGTTATGAGGGGGGTTGCATGATTTGCAATGAGTAATATATCTGATGTGTGCTCGATGCAGTTGCGGGTGTGCCTGTGCTTATCTTCTTTAAGCAGGCAGGGAAATAAATGGTTTGGGTAGCAGTAGAGAGCAAGAAGGGTCCCATGCCTTTCTCTATGGAAATAAAGATGACCCACTTGAAAGGATTGCAAGGAAGGTGGTGTCAGAAGAGGTCAGCCAGCTATTATGCATGATGTAATGGGGGGAAAAACAGTGCTCTTTCAATTGACCCTCCACTATTCATACTGTTTTACTGATGATACAGGTATACAGTGTCTTCCCATCTTGGCGTGAGGAAATGGTTAGGAATCTACTACAGAGTAACACAGAGAAGGGGAAACAAGACTCAATTATGAAAGGAATATGTCAGAAGTTCTCAAACCTGGCTGTTCATTAGATTCATCTGGGGAGCTTTTTAAGCAGAGCAATTGGCCCAATCTCAGACCAATTCAATATGATGAAGCCTATAACTGTTCCTTCTCCTACCTCCCCCACAAGCTCCCCAGGTGATTCCAATAAGCAGCCAGGATCTATGTTAAAACATCTGCCTTGATGGGAGAATGTGGGGTTTCTTTTTTAAAAGGCAAATATCAGTCCTTTCCGGATTATCCCCTGGTTTTAATTTAACCATCCATGCTTCTGTTGCTATAGCAAAGGATAACAATCAAATACAAAGCTTAAGCATCCAAATACTCTGTAGATAGTTTGTCACCTTAGCTGTATCAATATTTTACATCTGTTGCCATAAGCCTGCATTTACCCTTTATGACAGAACAAATGAAACAAAGTAGAAGTATTTATTAAATAGGGTAGTCATTTAATATCCTACTCAGAAACACAGATTTTAAGGTCACTAAACATCTTTAAAACTGGTATTGAAAGACAATGTAAGGTTAAGGTTAAAAAAAAAAACAATGAAATGGTGGGAAAGTGTGCCAAACTGAATCTAGATAAAGATTGAGGAAGGATGAGACACAGTCTGAATTTTTAAAAGGGAGCAGATTGGCTACACCATTTAAGGAATCTACTCTTTTTCTTACCAATGTTTATGCCAACTATCATGATACACACTAGTCATACAAAGGTAGTTTATATTTTTTCAGGAAAAACCGTCAGTTCTGAAAATAGAAACCCATTAACTACACGAGGTGTAGTTCTTACAGTGTTTAAAATGCCTATTTTTTCTACTGTCTATTTTGCATGCCACAAATACCAAATCTGGTAAAAGTATTTCTTTAAAAATTTACTCCTTCAAAGAAAAGAAACAATTTAATTAGTGACATGTGTGACAAATTCACTGGTGTATGATGACTAGGCAAACATCCTCTGAGATAACATAGGAACTTACTTGATATAGTTAAATGCATTCTTAATTTCAGTATTGGAGGTTTTTACCAAAAAATGTAAATCATCTTTGTATCATCAGTGTCTAGCATGGTGTTTGACATAAACATGAGTTAGGAGGAAGAATTATGTTTTTTCCTTTTACATTTAAGATTTAAGATGTTTCAGTACTGTTGTTATGAAAGTTCAAAAATAAACTTATCAATAAATTATTGGCACAATATGTATTGATTAATAAAAGATAATAAAGTATCTTGTTGCATGAAAATCCCCACATTATATATGTCCTATTCGCACAATTGTAACCAATTTATAACTTAGTTCAATGTAATCTACTCTGCTTATGTGGCAGAACATTATTCAGAGTTGTTTTTTTTTTTCAGTTGAAGAAATTTATCAGTAATCAATAAAGGCCATAAAAGAAAGTTGGCTGTACTAATAAAGCCTACTAATAAAAGAGTTAATAAATTTAGCCACAAACAAGCTTTCAACTATTAGGTTAATTCTCATGTCATAAAACCTCATTTTTCTTTTTTTTTTTTTAGCCAACTGAACAGTACTCCAAAATACAACATTAAATAACAAATTTTGATCAGAATATTAGGGTCCAGTTAATCTTAATTGAAGTGGAGGAAAATTTTTTAAAAATTAAGCAATTTTCATTAAAAGTTAGCATAGGATTATTTAGTTAATCTCTTTGTGATTTGTGTGTATGAGAAAGTTAACTTTGGTCCTCCATTAATAACCTGCCTGTTTTCTCATTCTACTGAATTGCTACTAATCCATTACCAATGACAGTTTATAAAGCACATTATTTTCCTTCTGCTTTCAAGAAGATAGAGCACTTTCAACATTTCTCTAGCTATCATTCCTTACTATCTTGTCTGCCACCTCACTGAGATCTCCATGGTTCAAGCTGGTTTTCTACAGGCTTTGACAATTTTAAATTAAAAATCCCAGATCTTAAAGTGCAACTCTCATCTATCTGAAAGTGCTTTTGCATCACCAAGCAAATCGAAAGAGCACTGATCTTCTCATTATTCTTTTAATATTTCTGGAGAGTAAAATTAAGCCATTCTGCCACCCACAGGATAAATAATGTGGCCATTAGTAAAATGCATGCTATAGAGTTTGTGATACATGGAAAAGGCTGAGTTTACAATGAAGGCCTAGTAACTGCAAAATGAAACCTGATTAGTATAGGAGAATGGTTATTCTCCTGGGACCAGCAGCATCAACATCACCTGCGAACATGGCCTCATCCCAGACCTGAAACAGAAATTCTGTGGGTTCTCATGCAAATATGGACAGTTCTCACTTAATAAACATACACTGAGTATCTATGTTCTAAGCATCATATGAGTAACTGAAGTTACAAAGACAAAGAAGACAAAACCCATATGCACCAGCAACTCACTGTCTATTGGTTATATTTTCACCTGGAAGAGCATGTAAATATGTCTCCTGGGCTGGGATTTTCTGCTGGACTAAGAAAACTCATTTTGCATAGTTAGATAGAAAACAGCATTAAAGTCAAATCATCCTGTCATTTTTGACTAACCATCAAAGTCATGTCCTGAATTTAACAAATATTGCTTTTATTATTTTATGATGTATGACAGTCATCCCTAAGGAAATTAGGATAAAGGTAGCAGATATTTAGTGGCACTGAAGAAACAAAAAGGATAGAAGAAAAACATTTTATTTTGTAGCAGAATTGACTGATGAGTTGTAAAAGAGAGACAAAAACCATATGCAACATTTACTTCAATCATTGAACAAAATTTTGAATGTTCCTGAAGAGTACCCCAAACTGAGGGCCAATAAAGATGTTAAAGACTAAAAATGATAGAACTAATATCACTCTAAATAAGTAAACACTTTGTTCTCTGATAAAGAAATAGTTAGTCCCCTAGGGAAAAGAAAAATAATCTAGCATGTTGATTTTAATCTTTCAGGACTGCCTTCAGGGAAATCTGAATGGTACAGTTTCTTAACTTTATCTTTGTCCCAGTACTGTCAAAGTACATTTTATTAAAAGAATGTCAACCCACTGAGTTGGAAACCTCTGCTTTTGCCTAATATTGTATGATGTCAGCTTCCTAGTTGGTGAGATTTATCAATGAGATAATTAGTGGGAAAGCAAGAAATTTTAAACCTTCTTCCTTTGATATCAGACAGTTTGTCAAGATAGATATCAAGAGTATCTTGAAAAATACTGCTGCATATGTCATTCTGAGAAAAAGACTGAGGCTAAAGAATGCATACATTTGAACAACTCCTTTTCTTACTCTATAAATCTACCAAAATTATCTACATAAAGGAAATCAACTTACCTTCGAAGGTGGAGAAAAGCCGTGTAACACTGTTTCCGGAATTCTTGGTACTGTTCACTTTGGGTGCCCCCCATTCCTTCCACCATTTCTTTATTCAGCTTCATTGGAGGAGGAAGAGGCTTTGGATCTCGGCCCAAGATATATCCAAAGTCTATGTGGAAGAGTTTACCTGGATATTGACAAGAAACTCATTTGTTTCCAGAATTATCTGAAATAACTGGGTAGGGGATAGATCATAAAATTCATACACACAGTTTCTTCATAAAGAATATTAATTCATGACGAAGCCTAATAAATTGTTTAATTTTCTAACTCCAAGTTTAAGAGTAACCTTCAGGGCATATTTTAGTTCATTTTAACACCTATCATTCAGATGAAACTATGCTTAAAATCATCCCATAGTAATGATAATGTAAAATTTTTCTTCTGGATGCACATATGTCTATTTTTACACTGTAGAGAAAGTTACTACTTTTTTTTATAGCATACAAATGAACACAGGTATAAGCCAGCCAGAATGAAAGAATTAGCATATATCCAGTGAAAAGAATCACAACTTCTAGAACACAATACTTAACTTTTGGAGGAAACAAATGGCAACTACATATACATACAAGGTAAATATTAGGACAGCAAGGCACAAAAACATTTTCTCTAACTTAGGAATGGTAAAAAGGTAAGTATCATCTGCTAAGTAAAAGCCAGAAGGCTAAGTAAACAGAGAAGTCGCTCTACCCAATTTCTGTTTCCACCTTTCCTCAATTCAAGTTTATTCAAAAGTTTGATATATTCAACTCCATGTCTATTATCTCTTTAATAATTTCAGAATGATAGTTGTAGACAATTTTATTATTATTATTATTATTTTGAGTTGGAGTCTCACTCTGTTGCCCAGACTGAAGTGCAGTGGGACGCTCCGGCCACCACAACCTCAACCTGCTGGGCTCCGGTGATCCTTCCGCCTCAGACTTCCAAGTTGCTGGAGCTATAGGCACACGCTACTACGCCTGGCTAATTTTTTTTTTATTTATTGTAGAAACGAGGTCTCGCCAAGTTGCCCAAGCTGGTCTCGAACCTGCGGGCTCAGGCAGTCCACTCGCCTCGGCCTCCCAAAGTGCTGGGATTACAGGCTGAGCCACTGAGTCTGGCCGTTGTAGACAGCTTTAAAGCTTGAGCTCCTTCTGATTTTCCCAGAGTGTCTTTGCAGTCTTTCAGATAGGCCTCCTTTTCAGGTGTCAGTTCTTTTAAGGCCTGAAATGCCATTCACTCCAGGATACAAGGAACACTGAGAATACTTTATCGATTCCACAGAGGCCCTTAATTATGGTGGAAACTAGATGTGTTCTCCTAAGAGTCTTCAAAATACTTTGTTAAATCAGCTACACACAGCACAGGCCCAAGCAGTATAACCTTTCATTTTTATAATCTCATAGGTGCTGGCAACCACTTCTCTGAAGACATGTTTCCATTGTTCAGAATCTTCATCAGTTCCTATGTTGGAGTTGAGATCCTTCAAAGGGACCTCAGCAATGTTCACTCCATCCACACAGGATCACTCAGGTCTCCATGGTCTCCAAAGATCCATTCACAACAGCTTTCAGAGTGGACACCAAGCTCTTGCCCAATCAAGAAACAAAAACGAGCAGTATCCATATTACAGTCACTTCCAATAACATGGTTTTGGGGAAAGGCGGGCAACTTCCAGGCTACATATGTGCTAAGGTATCCCCTGGGTTAGAAACAATCAGTTTGCTGTGGGGCAGTACTGGTAACACTGGAAATCATTCATTTGAAGATGGTCACATTACATTGGACTAAATTAAGGCATATTTCTCCTTTTCCTTGGTGAGCACCACTGTGATAATCACTGGGTTTGGAGTTTTCCATGACAAGGTATTCTCTGCTACAAACAATACGCGGCATTTTCATGAAGACTGCCATGATGAAGACCCTCCTTTTGCCAGTATCAAGATCTACATGGATTAGTTCATCACTCAAGCCTTTCAATAAGATTCTGATAGCATAGGCCATGCCAACCTGTCCAGCTACTATAATAGAGATGTGACTAAGATGAACTGGCTCCTCCACCGAGAAACAGTAAGTTCACGGCTCACGGTCACCGTCTTAGACACGGTGACAGGAACGAGAGCTCGAGCAGGACGCACGCCTGATGGAGAATGGCAGCCAGGCCCGGACACAGGAAATTTGCTCCCGCCTAACTCACGGGCTGGTCTGCAGAAATGGCAGCGCCTCAACTCAGGGGCACTCACTTAAGAAATGGAGGAAGAAAATGGAGAAGAGCCGTGGCCCAGAACGTAGTGAAGCTGAGAGAGAAAGAGGGAGCCAGCGAGAGCCTGTGACCATTGGACACACCTCTGCCTTCTACTGCAGCTGCACAGGACCCGCCCCCCCACTCCCCACTGTGGCTGCACAGGCCTCCCAGGGCCGCCACCAAGTCCTCTGTGAGGACTATGGCAGTGAAGGCCTTTTTCTGCACCAAGTGAATACTGGAGTTAGTTTAACAGACATGTACCCTCATCAATATTGGACATGCTTAACATGCAACCCAGGTTCCTGGAAATGTAGTCTCTATTTTTATATATGCATGCCAAGTAAAACTGCTTCTATGAGCTACAGGTAAACGTAAGGCTGGATGTGAGGAGGAGTGACGAGTGACGCAGGGAGAGGTGAGGTTTTGGGCAGTTTCCCGAGGGCCTCCTGCCATCTCCCGGCGTCCCATCTCCCGGCAGAAGTAGGTTCCTGTTCTCCAGTGCATCCAGCTGGAGGCCTTTTATTTAAAAAGATCCCACCACCTCTGTGCCATTCCTGCCCAGGACCCACAAGTGGGGCGGTCCGCGGGAGATGGACAGGGAAGGGCCTACTCACACCAAGCCCACCCGTGATGATGTGCCTGCTTTCCCATGCTAGAGGGAAGCCTGTGACTGTGCGTCAAATTAAATACGACTTCTCAGGTAGGAAGACGGCAATGTAGCCCTCTATTTAAAAAAATATCTCTTAAATGGCAAATTTTGACCAATGCACAAGTCATACTATTGACTAAAGCCGTGACCGCCTAGTTAGTGCAATATGGCATCAGTATGTCTGACGTCCTTCTGCATTTCTCTAGGAAGTCTTATGAACTAAATTCCTTCCAAATTTCTGAAAAGGTATCAACTTTACATGTGATGAAATGTACCTTAGTAAGCCCAATAAAATATAAAGCCCACTAAAAATACTTTCTCCCCAGTTATAAGCAGAATGCTGACTGTGTAATGATCCCTGAAAAGCTATCCCTTCTAATTCTAAGAGAGCAGCATGTTCTCCTTGATACACGCAGCCCCCGCACAGTAAGTAAAAAGTGATTTCAGGATTCGAATACTGAATCCCGAGAAAATGAACAGTTTATATTCAGGATTTGGAAAGCTATTCTCATTCTCTTTGCCATTGAAATGCATTTCAGAAAGAGGAACAATAAGAAAATGTGAGGGGTGGGGAAAGTGGCAATGAGCTGAGTTCCTGCAATCCTGTTTCAGTGACCTGATGGCCCCTTGACTCACCCTCCACACCAACAGGAATCAAACCTCCTGTTCAATTGGTGTAGAGCCATAAACTCCCAGACACACGAAATTGGGAAGCACACTGGATGTATGAGTCCTTTTCACATTGTCAGAAAGAGCCTGGTCCCAGAACTTCACTGTGGACTCCTAAAGCTTTCCAGACTGTGAACCTGACCATACCAACCCCACACCATGCAGAAAGTGAGCCCCAGTCCAGAACTGCAAGACAAGGGAAGAAAGACCAACTCTTGGATAAGGCAGCTGTGGCCACACCTCCCTTTATCTAGGAAAAGTCGGGCATCTGTGGATTCTGGAAGCTCCAGCCAAGAACAGCACTCCCCAGTCCCAGCACCCACTGCCTCCATGTTTAAGTCTCCACTACTATGTCCGGCGCCAACTCAATAATTTAACATTTTAAATCCTATTTTTAGGTCTCCACAATCAAAGATAGCCAAAACGTAAGTAGTTTTTTAAAGTATCAGCAGACATTAGAATCTTGTAGCAAACTTTCTGTGGTAATGTTTAAACAAAGTGTCCTTCATGTAATGAAAGACCATTCCTTTTAAGTATTCCTGAGATGAATCCTTCCTTTAATTTATCACTACCTTTAAAAAAAAGTCCCCAATTTCAAGTTATACTGTTAGCTTCATTTGAAGCATTTTCAACAAATGTATCACTAATTAGTTGCAGACTAGGAAACAAACACAGTGATCGTATCTGTCAAGAGTTGAATACAGCTACAGTGATCATTAAAAGAAACCCTATAAAGGTCATCTAAATTCATAGAACAAAACATGTAAGAATGTGATAACTCACCTTAGTGAATGATTGATGATGGAATTAATAAAACATCTTGTGATTTACAAGTAGGTATAAAGCAGAAAGACATTTTAGCACAAAAAAAAAATAACCTCATGGATTCTACTATCTTATAAGCTCTACCAAGACAGGACTTTAGGATTTACACCTGTTTATATGCTGCTGAATTCCCAACCTCAGAATAGTTTTTGGCATATAATAGGGTCTCATTGTTGAATGAAGGAATTAATTCATTTAAAAGAGCCAACAGCCGGGCTCAGTGGCTCAGCCTGTAATCCCGCGCCTTTGGGAGGCTGAGGTGAGTGGATTGCCTGAGCCCGCGGGTTTGAGACCGCCTGGGCAGCGAGACCTCATCTCTACAATAAATCAAAAAATCAGCTGGGCATGGTAGCGGATGCCTGTAATTCCGGCTACTCGGAAGGCTGAGGTGGAAGGATCGCCAGAGCACAGCAGGTCGAGGCTGCGGTGGCCGGGAGCGGCCACTGCACTCCAGTCTGGGTGACAGAGTAAGACTCCAACTCAAAAAAAAAAAAAAAAAAAAGAGCCAACCAAAAATTTCTGCTGCAACCTGCCCACTCTCTTCTGTCCTGATGAGGCAGGGCTCATGCCTGACAGTTCTCACACAGTTTGATCTGTTTCATGTGGAAACCTATCTTTCATCTAGTATTTGCGAAGCTTAAATATTTTTTTTCCCCTAAAGGCTGTCAGTCAAAAACTTTGCTTCTTAAAGTTTATTTATTGAATTTTTGCACAATTTGCCAACTTGGCGAAATATTTTCATGTATTGACTCTA